AAGACCAATGTTAGGTAGGTAGGTAGTTAAGTACAAGTGGGAGAGGGGCAGAGAGACAGAGGGAGAGAGAGAATCCCAAGCAGGATCCACACTGTCAGCCCAGAGCCCAATGTGGGGCTCGATCCCACGAACGGTGAGATCATGACCTGAGTCGAAATCAAGAGTTGGATGCTTATCGACCGAGCCATCCAGATACCCAAAGACCAATGTCATTTTAAAGTAAGCTGTAATATACACGGAATGTGGGAAATCCCTTTGTACTATCCCAGGCTTCTCCTTAGTGAAAAGACAATTTTCCTATCATTCAGGTTCCTCGTGCAGGCTAATTATCGAATTCTGTCAATAGAATTATCCAAATATTCCAGAGGAACATTAGGCTATGAAGGCACCATCTCAAAACCATCCTCATGGGAAAAGGTGACCTTTATTACTTTTATGAAAAATGGCAGATACTGGCATTCTGGTTATTAACTCTGGATGGAGGCATTACTAGCTTAAAGTAGGGATGGCCTCTGTAGAGATCTCCCAGGAATGGCCATATTATAGATGCCTCCTACTTTAACTATGGACCTTTTTGTTTCCGTTGTAGAAAAGATTTAATAGTTTAAAGTCGATTTTAAAATGAGTGATTAAATTTGAATTGTGATCATGGTATAAGGTGACAGAGAACTGACCAGTCACGGTGAATTCTTCTAGTCCTATTTTACCTTTCTGGAACCTTATTTACCGCCTCTCCCCCATCAACTTTTTGCCCTGATCCCTGTGTGAACTCCTTAGACTACCTACCCCACCTATAGGTGAAATGATGAAGGGGATGTTCTGTACTTGTTTATGTCTTGGCTTGTACAGGCTCAGGCTCTTCAGAAAGGTGTGTGCTCTGCCAAAGTTTGTGGCAGAGATCTGCTTACCAGCAGTGTTGTGTTTTCATTCCCTGCCTCCCTCTTCTCTGATGAGATGGGTTGTGACCTTCTGGTCTTTCCCTGTCCATGAGGGCAAAAGCTACCTCTCAGGATGGCCCTGATCATGGTGGCAGCCACAGGTCAAGCCGTGTGACTGGCTCTCCTAGGCCAGCTGGTCCCACCAGGCTGGCCTGCAGCCTGAGTCTGCTGTATGGCAGTCACTCCTGCCTGTTCTCAGCCCCTCCTACCAGTGATGCAGCAGAAAGACCTGACCTCCCCTAGTGTCTGAGTGTTGGTTCCCAACTGGTCCATATATGCATGGGGCAAAAGAAACTGCTGAAAGAGGTAGACCACTCCAGATTGGTAGGCAGTGGTTTTAATAAGCAAGGGAATTTATGAGGCTTGTCTCGGGCAGCCAGAGACTAGCAGATGTCTGCACCCCTCTGCCAGAGTCTTAAAGGTTTGTAGGTATAGAGGCCTTAACGTGGTTCAGTCACATGTGCCATCCAGACGGTCTATATACCACACCTTACCTTTTCAAGGCTCCATCCTTGAAACAGTTCCTAATGCAGAAACTGTACACTCCAAGGACAGGGAAAGAGTGAGGAACCTCCATTTGCCTGGGTCAAGCTCAAGGGTCAACCAGTGGTCACGTCGTGTCAATAATCTCCTCCAACACTGGGGTCAGCAGGCCAACTCTGACAAAGGCACTTTCTTACTGAAGCCTTTGTTAACTGCTGTGCTGCATGTGTGAAGGGGTTATTTACTGGGTGTCTAGCTCTGTGTTCGGAAGGAGGAGGAAAATGAATGAAAGGAGAGGACCTGGTGCCTGTGCTCCACTGAGGGCAAAAGTCTTTCTGCGTTGTAGGTATTCCATGTGGGTTGGCTTGTCTGTGCCATGATTGCAGATTCTTAGGTTCAGACAAAGTGAGTGAAAGTGGTCTACCAAGATTTGGACCCACTGATCCAGACATCTGAGGTAATGAGTTCAAGGGTGGTGCCAGAAGAGCACTTTTCAGTGGTGTATCAGACTCAAAGTGGTGTCCAAAACACAGGGGCTTTATTGGCCCCAGACTAGACCAGTGTCAGCAAAGAACCTGATTTTGTGCCTCTCTTCTCTTAACTATGGACCATTTAAATGCTCCCTGGAGCCCATCAGGGGGCTGATCCCTTAGGAGTCCAAAATGAACACTAGTCCAATTGGTTTAAGTGCAATCCAGAAGACACTGCTATCTCTGAAATTACTAACTTGGCTACCGCTGAAATATGGAGCCTCTGCTATGAGCTGACTTTTGACAAGATGTAGCTCCACTGTCTGATAAAAACTCTCAACAAGTCTGGTTAAAAAGACACTCTCCCCTTAAGAGGAGTATAATTAGTGTCCTGCCTTTATTTGTGACTGTAGCTTATGCTGCCTAGTTTACTTGGCAACCATTTTAGTTCTTCTGATCCTCTGCAGGGGTGATTACAGACTGGGTAAACAAGATAATTTACCCCAATTGTTTCAAGAAAAATGTATCACAGAATAAACTACAGGCTTTAAAGGCAGGGGATATATATATATATCATATATATATATATACATATGTAAAATGGAATACCACTCAGCGATGAAAAAGAATCAAATCTTGCCATTTGCAAAAACATGGATAGAAGTGGAGGGTATTATGCTAAGCAAGACAAGTCAGAGAATGACATATCATATAATTTTACTCATATGTGGAATTTCAGAAACTGAACAGATGAACATAGGGAAAGAGAAGGAAAAATAAGATAAAAACAGAGAGGGAGACAAACCATAAGAGACTCTTAAATACAGAGAACAAACTGAGGCTTGATGTGGTTGGGGGGGTGTGGGCTATACATGGGTGATGGACATTAAGAAGGGCATTTTTCGGGATGAGCATTGGGTGTCATATGCAAGAGATGAATCACTGGGTTCTACTCCTGAAATCGTAATTACCCTGTATGTTAACTAACTTGAATATAAATAAACAAACAAACAAATAAAATTTAAAAAGAAAGCAAAAGTATTGGCACCCAGAAATGACATTTCTAACAGCCTCCCTGATAGGAGTTAGGGCAAAGTCATCCTTTCCTCCCCTATTTACCTTAATCACTGAGAGGATCCTCTCTTCTGCTACACGTTCACTCATGTGGGAAAACCAGTAGACTCTCTAGAACACTTTTCAAAAGACATCCTTCACAATTTAGCCTAGTGAGGGTAACAAAAAGGAAAAAGATTGCTTTCATCACCTATAACCCTCTCATACTCAGCTTGGTCAGCCTCCACTGCACTGAAAGACAGGGGCAGGTATTAAAAGGAAGAATGGAAAGTGGGGAAAATACACAAGGTGTTGCTTAGCCTAACCCACCCATTTTTAACACAATTTTCATACCATAATGGAAAACTTCTGATGTAACATGTATGATACTTTATGCTTTCCCTGGTTCTTTGTTCCTCTGTCTACTCTCATAAGAATGAAAGTTCCATGATGGCAGAACTTTGTTAATATCTACAATAGTCTCTGGCAACTAGTAAGCACTTAGTAACTGTCTGTTTAAGGAAGCGGGGGAAGTGTCCATCACAACCGTCTCTTCTCTACTACCAATGGGGGAGCCCCACCCAAACCACTGGCAGCTTACCAAGACTTCCCAGCTGCCTCACAAGGATCCACACACAGCAATGGTGATTCATTCTGGCTTGCTGATGAACCCACCGGGCAGGAAGCCTCAATATAAATGACAGGTGGGTCTTAGTGTTGCTCTTGACTAGTGCAAGGTTTCTGGCTGCCCAGAAATCTGCATTTTTAACAAGCATTCCAGATGATTTTCTGCATAAAAAAAAATTTACACCATGAAAATTTCCTTCATTGGGAAAGAACAATATCAGAGGCTATTATAAAAATCTTTCAATGTGAGGGGCACCCAAGGTAGCTCAGTCGGTTAAACGTCCAACTCTTGATTTTGGCTCAGGTCATGATCCTACAGTTTTGTGAGTTTGAGCTCTGCGTCAGGCTCTGTGCTGGCAGAATACAGGCTGCTTGGGATCCTCTCTCTCCCCCTTCTTCTGCCTCTCCCCGACTTGCAATGTCTCTGTCTCTCTCAAAATAAATAAATAAACTTAAAAAATTTCAGTGTGAAATAAAGACATTTCTCTCTCATATGGCCTCCTTACACTTAGATGGAACCTAGAGGAAGCACTGGGTAAAAAGACACAGTACTGGCTTAAATTCAAATCCATTTCCTACACTAACTAGCTATAATCTTGGGCAAGATATACAAAATGAGAGGATGAAAAAATGAAAGGTTGGGGGCACCTGGGTGGCTCAGTCAGTTAAGCATCTCTTGATTTTGGTTCAGGTCATGATCTCAGGGTTCATGAGTTCGAGCCCCACACTGGACTTTGAGCTTGCTTGGGATTCTCTCTCCCTCTCTCTCTGCCCCTCCCCAACTCATGCTCATGTTCTCTCTCAAAAAAATTTAAAAAAGAAACTTAAAAAATGAAAGGTTAGGCTCACTGCTTTCTGTGTAGTCCGAATATTTTAAGATGCTTTTTATTCATACCATGATGGGGAAAATACCAAGTAATTGCCTAATATCTATTAAGACTACCTTCCCTGTCCCTTCCCAGTAACTGGGCTAGCTTACTAAAGCCGCTAACCACTTACCAAGACTTTACAATGATTTGATAACCATGTGCAGGATACTTATTTAAGCCTTTCCCAATTCTCTAGTAACCTCACTGGGCCAGGCCGGGTTCAGTATACCTCTTCACCATGGGCATGGCTTCTGATCACATTTGGTGTCACCTGTAGGATAGAGGGAAGGAAGAAGAAACAAATGTAACACAGGATAGCCAAGTTTTGAGATACAGCTTTAATTTACTTTTACCACCTCAGTCAAGTCATCCAGCCCACACCATAGATCTCAGATTTTGCTCTTGGTAAGCATTACTATTAGCGTCAATTATATTCTCTATCTGGAAGACTGTTCCAATATCTACAATTATTATTTAATAAGAATTCTTGCATCCATTTAAATTTTTTTTTAACGTTTATTTATTTTTGAGACAGAGACAGACAGTGCATGAACAGGAGAGGGTATTGCATCCATTTTAAATGAGATAACTTGCATTTACAGGCACCAAGCAAATAGATGTATCAAAGTGTTAGAACTCAGATATGAAGTGTGATGTTTAATCTTCCTAGCTACCTCCAAGCCTTTACCCTCTTTAGACCTCAATATCCTTACCTTTGAATGGGAGTAAACTTGATTTCTTAGGGGTCCTTCTATGTCTGGCAGATATGACCCTCCATTCTGTATTCCTGGCTAAAAGAGCTCCGAAAAAGTGAATGAAACCTCCATCTAGCTAGTCATTGGATGGCATTTGGTTCACACTAATGAGAAAAGGTAACAAAACCCTGGGCTCTGGGCTATCATTTACAATCCCAACTTCCACCAGGACTCACCTTAGCTGTACGTGAAAAGGAATTGAACATATCTATCCCCTTATCAGCTGCCCGGATTACCAAAATGATTAAAGGGAGGGAGCTAGGTAGGCCAATGCCTACTCCCCTATCTCCAAGACTCAACCACTAGGAAGAATGGAGCTCTGAGACCTAAGACCCACACAGGATAAGTTAAGATCCCCAAGTGTCCTTTCTTTCTAAGGAAGCAGCCTATTGCCCCTAAGTTTCCCAGTCCCTAGCTGCTTAGCATGAAAAACAACCCACCCCAGGTTATTAATAGCATCAGATGCTGGTAGCACAAGCTAACGCAACTAGGTTTCCTGTCACCCAGTGAGATGCAGACAACCCTCAAACCCCAGAAAAACCCAAGGAGCAGTTTCTCAGGGCTCATTTTTAACTGTGTCATTAACCACCAGCAAAAATGTCTTATAATCTACTAATAATCATGAGAGCCAGGCAGAAAGCTCTCCCACCATAAATGGGGAAGATTTCATGCTGGCCAAGCACTGGGGGAGGGGAGCAGGAGTCTTGATGAGTTTGAGCCATCTCTTTATTGGATAAATCAATGCAGATATTACTAGAGTAAGATCTGGACACCTACAAGCAGCTGCTGCCACTAGTAATTATTTTTAGCTTGTTACATACAGACCAGAGGAACAAGAATGGGAAAGAAATTTGTAAAGGGCAGAATTGGGAAATAAATGGTAAATGTAAACCCTGATGCATGAAATGCCTTCATTAAGGAGTCAAGAATAGAGTAGCTGGCAGTTATGGACTTTCTCTGAAGACAGAGATTTTCTTTCCACCACTCCCTTCCCCCACTCCATCTAGCTCTTTTCCAAACGAAATTGCTCCAGTTTCCGGCCCCCCTACCACGCAATTTATTCCGCTTCTGTTTAGATCAACAAATTTCAAAATGGAAATAGCTTCAGTGTTCGTCTAACTTTGAAAGTCACAAATGTACACTGTGAGAAAAAAATTCCAGGAATGTATTAAAGATAGAAAGTAAAAATCATAGAATCCCAGCAAGTTTAATTAACATTGAGTATGTTCTTCCAACTACTTATTGTACACAAACATTAATTTTTATTTTACAAACATTAGATGAGAACTGTATTATTGCTCTCTAGCCTTTTTTTCAATTAATATACTTGATACACCTTTCCAAGTAAAATATTCATCTGTAAGACTATTTTTATTTAAGGTTTTTATTTTAATGCCATATTATAATATTGCATGAATACATCAAAATTTATTTACCCAAATTATTCATCAACAAGCAATTTTCCATTTTTTATTGCTATGAACATTGTGAACATTCCCATACCTACATCTTTTAGAATAGCCTTAGAATATTTCTTTTAGAATATTTTGGGGTATAGCCCTAGAAATGAAATTGCATGGTCAAAAGTCAGACAATATTTATTCTGCTCACTAATATATACTGCCAAACTGTCCCTACAAAGAATTATACTGAAACTGGGTAACCCCACTAACACTAGTGTAACATTTTTTAACATTTGCCCATGTGATGGGTATTAAATGCAATAACGCAGTTTCTTATGAATACAAACATTTATTACTAAGAGAATTACAAAGATGAGTAAGATACAGTCTCTGCCCTTGAGCTTAAATGAAGGGAGACAGACACAAACTGGAAACGTTTACCATTATCATGTTCATAATGAGGATAAATTAAGATTTCAGTTCATGGTGATTCCTAAATGGACTCTGCAGCTGTTGCTAATAGAAAAGGTCCACAAGAATATTATTTGACAGTACTCCAAATTAAAAATCCATCTGCTAAAATTGCAAGGAATTGTGCTAATGCTAAATCACCTCAGTGGCATTTTGATGTGACTTCGTTGTTTTTTCATCAAGTCTAAAAGGTAAGAACCAAGTAGAAGCTGCTCAGAAAACCACCTGCTCCCCCACCCCCGACCCCCGCAAGGCAGTGAAGTGAATGGAGTGTAGAACAATATACAATTAGAAGATTCACTGACACTGGAACCTGGACTTCCATCCTTCCGTCTCCTACCATTTTCACTAAACAGTAAGCAGCAACCATTTTCTTTCAGAAACCAAATGGCTTTTCTCCCTGGAATCTCACTGCCAGGCAGATCAGCCCACATATTTAGGCTGCAGTAGTATCCATGCCAACTTGGGAAATACAGAGAAGAATCCAAAGAAACTATTTTTTCAGTATCATGTGGGTCAGATACAGATGAGATCAAAATGGATGACAACACAAACATTTTAAAAACCTATCTGACAGGGGCGCCTGGGTGGCGCAGTCGGTTAAGTGTCCGACTTCAGCCAGGTCACGATCTCGCCGTCTGTGAGTTCGAGCCCCGCGTCGGGCTCTGGGCTGATGACTCAGAGCCTGGAGCCTGTTTCCGATTCTGTGTCTCCCTCTCTCTCTGCCCCTCCCCCGTTCATGCTCTGTCTCTCTCTGTCCCAAAAATAAATAAACGTTGAAAAAAAAAAAAAAAACCTATCTGACAAAGATGGATGAATATGCAATAAAGCAAATATGGCAAGATGTTAGTTGTAACATCTAGTTGGTAGATAGATGGGCTTTCAATGCACAACTCTTTAGCTTTTCTATATGTATATTTAAAATTCTTCATAATAGAATGCTGGGAAAAATCCAGCAAGCAGCTTGAAAAATAATGCTGTAAGTAAGGCCTTTCCATTTCACTCCTGAAATGAAACTATCCTATATTCTTTCCATTTTATTTTTTTTAGATCTAGCTTTCTTGAATTGGACTTGGGAGCTCTCAACTTTTTAATGACCTGAAATGAATCACAATATATCCACAAGCAGGTAACCAAGACAACAGTGTGGGAGGTTAGGGATGGTAAAGGGGAAGGTCCTAAGCTCTTGGAAGTCCAGGTTCCTTAACTGTATTAAGTCTAAGCAAGTGAATATTTCAGAAACCCCATTTCTTTGTGCATTAGCATTCAGACCCTGTAAACATTTGCCTCAGCCTACCTGTCTGCCTTATCTCACATTAATTTGTTATTTTCCATATTCTCATTGCAAAGAGCTGTGTAGGAAGGAGGGGGTCAAGGCATAAGGCACCAAGGTATGATATGGCCACATTCTTCAGGTTAGGATATAACAAAAGGAATTTCTAGAGATGAAGCTCAAAACTTGATGTTGAAGTACATGGTATAACTGACTGACTGTAGGACTCTGGTGGAGGCCTTATAAGCATCTAGTTTGATGCGTTCTAGCTGGCCCATCTGTAAAATAGGAAAAAGACTTGTTATAAGCAGTAACGAATGAGGTAAATAAATGAGTTTCTGAGATGCCAGAAGTATCTTTGGTGAATGGAGAGGGAAATTAAACCATCACTGTTAAGTAATGATCCAAAGCAAGGTAGGCAATCATTTTCTGTAAAGGGTAGGCTTTATGGGCCACTGGATCTCTGATGGAGCTACTCAACACTGCCTTTGCAGGCCAAAAGGGCCACAGACCAAATATCAACAAATAACACGTGATCCAATAGAACTTTATTTGCAAAACCAGGCAGTCCATGGGCTGTATTTGTCTACCTATATCTGGAATGTGGAGCCCTACCTAGGAACACCATTTGAAGGATGATCTGAGGAGGGGTGAAAAGGGGATGATTCTACAAACAGGAACCATTGAGCAAACACTGGGCAGTGAAGATGAGGCTCATGATCTGGCAACTATCACCCAGGTCCCACCAAGGAAGAGGCTGTCAGCAGCAACAACAGTAGCAACATCTGTAAATACCAAGGACTGAAATCCAAACACACAAAAAAATAGCATTATCTCAGAAAAACTCTTACGATAGATACATAATTAGAAACACCAAGTTTCTGACCACATGCATTTTGAATAAACAGTTGACAGTCCAGAGCCTGTGGAGATCACCTTAGCAGGCACACGATAAATGTTTGTTGATGAGTCATTCATTTATTCATCCAATAAACATTTACTGAAGCCTACTAATGTGCCAGGCTGGGCTCTGGAGAAGACTCTGTCCCTGCCCTCAAGGAGCTCACAGTCTAACTGATAACATAGGAAAGGAGACAGGCATATACACAGACAATTACAATACAACCTGGTAAGTGCTGTAACACTTATCAGGTTGTATTATAATGGCCGATGTAAAATTTCTTTCCAGGGGCGCTGCTCCAGGCTGCTGCTGGCTGTAACAACAGAGGGGAGGAACAAATTGTGGAAATCAAAGGTTAAATGCTTTTAGGCTATTTCAAATATCCAGGCTCTCCCTAACTCCTGATCAGACATGGGTTCAGGAACTAGATATTGGCATGATAAGATTCTTCATGCTTAAGGTAGGCACAGACCTCTAGAAAGGACCTTCTCCACCACCTCCTCTACAATGCAGGCTCTGTTCTTGTTTTGTTTTGCTTATTATACATTTGTCAACCTCCCCACCCCCATACCTAAGCCTGGTTTAACATCTGCAACTAACAAAATGCTGAAAAATGGGAATTTATGACTAACTAGATTAACCCAGTGTAACTGGATAGCAAAAAGCAATACGTAACAAATGACTTGGCACTTCTAAATCCTATAATCCCCCCCATTAACTGAAAATATAAAAATTAGAATGTTTTTAAATACATATATGAGATAGTATACAGTTCATGTATTGGGAATAATAATTTAGAAAGATTTACTTAATAAATATAATTAAAGATTCTCTAAATTACCTACCTCATAATAAATAAGAAAAATGAAATGAGGTAATACACTCTTCCCAACCACTTTTCAAAACTGAGTTACAGTAACAGACTTCTTGTGAAGAGATTACTAGTCACTTGGCTCAGATGGTTTTATACAAAGACAGGATGGAATTTTTCTGCATCCCATACTGTTCTTAATAGGGCCTATGTTTTTAACGGCTCTTTTGTGTCTGCACCAGCAAATTGAGCTGATGACATCAATAAACTGTTGCCATTTACACTGGGATCCCTGTCTTGGGATTCAATGTCTCTGAGGCCACTATTTTATACGCTTAACACATTAGTTTCCCCTGAAGTCATTCTATTGCTCTTGCCTACACTGTTCTAGTCTATCACGGTCAGCCCACACTCACAATGCCTTCTCAGGTGTTACAGTTTGTTCCTACCAGCATTTTACACCCTCAAAGTGCTTAGTGGTCTCTCTATATGTGGACATCACACTATGTCCATACCGTCTCCCACATCACTCGTGAATATTCAAAATAAGATCAGTCCCAGAATGGATGGGGGCGAGGGTACTACTGTTTTGTGTGCTGTATAAGTTGGTTTCTTATTAGGGACAAAATGTTGCCATGTCTTCTTCCCACATCCATAGCCAGGGTGCAATAATGCTATGCAGCATTCAAGACTGCTCTCCTTTAGATAAAAAGAAATAGCTATCTATTTAAAGGACAAAGAAATGTTATCTCAAAATGGCTACCAAGAATCTGACAGGTATTCCACAAAGCAGTTGTCTTTGCAATCACAAACATTTTTTAAGACTCAAAGGCAACATATGCTAGGAGTATATGTGCAGCAAATCACATGTATCCTTTGCAATAAATGACAAGGATAATAGATCCTTATACAGAACACATAATATACAGCTCTTACAAATACTTAACATTCATACCCAAATTGAATAGTTCACAAAGGGAAGAGTTAATAATTAACATTTGAGAATTCAGCCTCACCAATAATCAGAGAAATGGATCATAAAACAAAGATACCGTTCTTTTACATATAAAGTTAGCAAAAAAAATATTCTAAATACCTAAATAGCTGGGCACAAAAAAATGACGTATTTTTTTTGGAATGTTACTGTAGCAAATCTCTATAATGTTCAAACTTTTTGATGAACCATTCTAATTCTGGAACTCTATAAAGAAATAACTCAAAATAGATAAACAATAAAAACTAAATGAAAATGAAAAGACATTCATTGTAATACTTTACTGAAAATCCTAAAATATTTCCATACAACAATATATCATGAAACCATTACATGACAACTGCAAACAATGTTTAGCATGGAAAAATGCATGTTATAATGTTAAACACAAAACAGAACATAAAATAGTACAAATACATGATCAACTGTAGAAAAATGCAGGGAATGAAAAGATGTGAACACATTTATAAACACTGGTTATCTCTGGGTGGTAAAATTACAGATCCTTCTTCCCTATACCTGATGGTTATCCTCAGACAAAGCTATAATGAATATTTATCAAATTTCTAGATTGAGGGAACTATTCAAACTTAATGGAAAAAAAAATCACAAAATAGAAGATGGACAAAGTTACTACTTGCTTTCAAATCTCTACGAACCAAATATTTGAAAACAAAAATTAAAAGGTAAACAATAACCTGGAGTATATAACAATGCAGAAATCTGAGTAATAGCCTTTACTTGAAAAACACTTTCAAACAGATAATAACAACACTAAACTAAAAACTCCAACAGATGAATCAGTGTAAGACATGAACTAACATCACATGAAAGAAAATTAAACTGCTAAGAAATATATGGAGGAAGGAGTCCAAACTCACTAATAACCAAAGAAATGCAAAATTAAAATAATACTTGTTTTTATCCATAACATCTTTTTAAAAAACAAACACCACTTAATACTTTTATGAGTAAAATTTGGTACGACCTTTTCGGAATGAACTTTATCAGTACATATTGAATGTTAAAAACGCATTGATATAGTAATTCCACTTCAGTGAATCTATCCTAACCAATAATAAAAGAAATGCATGTATTTTCAGTCTTCTATTATAAGGGGGAAAAAAGGCAATAACCTGACTTTACTATTGGACATTTGTATTAACACACCATAATATTAATAATGGGTAAGAAAAAATCTCTACCGCAGCAAAAGACTGCTTTCTCAAAGCATTTGACCAGATCTCAAATCAGGCAAAACAAGATGGGTGTGTCCAGCCTGTCGCAGTCGGCCATTTTAAACCCTCTGCAGAACAAAAAGCATAGAAGACAAGGATAGATAAGGATGGCCGCCCCGGTAGGCTGCAAATCAACAATTTTTACTTTTTGTCTTCTACATATGTAACCCTGTAGGATGCACCGAGTAAAAAGTGGCCAAAAGCAAACAGGTCTCCCTTCTTAAACAGCACAGGTAAGTTACAAAAACATTTTTGAAATCATAAAAGAAGGGTCCCTTAAATTTGCCCCCTCATTTTAGGGAATTAAAGCATAACAGTTAAGAACACAGCATTATGGACCCATACAACCTGGACAAAAATCCAGTTTCAGCCATTCAAATGGATGTAAAGCCTTGGGCAAATTACTTAATCCGTGTCCCCCACATTTCTCATTTGTAAAATCTGAATAACGGTACTGCTATTTAGTAAGATTGTCGAAAGTACTAAATGAGTTGAGGCACGTGTAAAAGCAGGTAGACCAGTACCTGGCACATAGTTTTAAGTGCTACAGACGTTTGAATACAATTATTATTATAAATAGAGAAATAGGCCCAGAGAAGGAAAAGGACCACTAGGAGATCACAACTAGGATCACTGGAAAAGACCTGTCTCTTCAATTTTGAATCCTGTGCCCTTTCTGCTACATATTTAAGTGCTAAACTGTTAGTTTTAGTGATTTACAATAGATCCTCACTGACAGCCCTCTTGAGATCCACGACAGTAGGGCTACCTAAAAAAGTCCTCCCCCTAGGCTAAAATTTTGCAGAAAAAAATAATTTCGAGGAAAGGGTATAAACCCAGGTCACCTTCACACCACCATTTCCATTTACCCAAATCCTGGGTTTAAAGTGTAACAAGCACTTGGAAACAGCCAAATCCTCAGCCCTATGTTCTGCAAGTGAGAAAAGCAAGAGCTTCCGACCAACCTAACAGTAGACTCTCACAATAATACTGCAATCACCGTGTTTTGCAAATCTGAAGGGATGAGAGAATGTGTCGAGTGCCAAGTACAGCGGCCCAAAGTCTGACAGAGAGCCCTCCAACTGTGTATTGCCAGAATGTGCCCTGTCCCCAAGGCTCCCGTTTTACGCATTTCTTACACACACCAGCTGCCGAAACCTTTCACAGAGTCATCATCGCCTCGGCATTTTCAAACCCACATTTATCAATGGACCACTGAAGGGCTAAGATTCTAGGTTAATTTCTGGTGAATTTGGCCACAGCCTAGGGCAACTCCAACTCGGCAGATCCTTTCACCCAACCAGAAAGGTAGCTGTACTTCTCTCCAGGGCCCCCAGCCCAAAATGGCCTAGCAGAGACAACTTACCTCCCCCCTCGCCATTTTGCAATCGTAACCACACCTACAGTGCGCGCCTCCCCTCCCCGTCATTCCGTCTGAAATACGCATGCGCCCCTCTCCCCTCCTAAAGCCAACCGTCACAATGTCGTCTCAAATACGCATGAGCGCCTTCACTTTCCCTTCCAACCGCGGCTGCCAACTGTGCACTGGGAATTCCGCTCCCTTAAATACGCACTCGATGCTCCCCCCACCCCACCCAAGCTTGCGCGTGCTTACCTCCCACTCTCCCCGGCTGGGGCCCCTTCCCCCTCACATCAGGTCTTCTCAAATATGTGTGCGCGATCCCGCGCCTCCCCCAACCTCCCCAATACACATGCGCACCAAGACCGTCCTCCCCTATTCCCTGCCCTCCTTCCTCCTTGGTTTCTTATATATACATGCCTGATGCTATCGGGATGTGTCTCTCGCCATACTTGTGCCCCAGTGCTCAAGGAGAGCCACTACCAGCGTTTCCTAATGGAGGTAGGTGTGATAAACTAGGGAAGTGGAATATGGGAAAGACGGCATGGACATTTGTGACGGCAGAGAGCAGGTGACGGCAGAGAGCAAATCTAGATGGACTCTGAACCGGCCCCCAGGGAGGAGATGGCGTGCCCTCAGATTCCTTAATAAGACCCACCACCCTTAACAAAGGCCAAAAAAAACAAACAAACCTCTCATAATTGGATGAGCCTAGTCCTAAGGCCCACCCTTTAAACACACCTTCGGCTACGTAAGAGGAACTCCCAAAATATTTAAACAGAGAACGTCATGGGAAATAACAACGTTCCTGTGCCTCAACCCTGATTAGAAGAAAGGAGTCTGTATCCTTTCCCAATGGAAAGTAAATGTTCAATATCCTTTTGTAGGCCTGAGGCCCGTGCTGTCCCCCACTTATTCCTCTCGTGAACCGCGAGAATACACAAATCAAGGGTCTCCCCGGCCCGAATTCCCTCCTCCCTCTTCCGTGTTCTTCTACGACGTTATTTTACCTCCTGGCTGAATCGAGTGTCGTAGCATGAATTCTTAGCGCTCGCCGCCGCAAGATATGGTGGACGGAGCAGCTGCACAGAGTTCGCAGATCCAGGGTGGTTGCACAAGCCAAGGTGGAACTGGACAGCAGGCAGAGAACCAGCCGCGCCTCCAGCCGCAGCGCTGATGCCAGTTAAGATCTGCCTCTCCGGGATCGCCGCAGTGTACTTCTGGCGCATGCGCTAAGTACGCCCTCTTCTCCCCACCCCCACCCACTACTGCCTTTCAGAGGTTAACCCTCTGGCTTTCACGTTTTCCCTAGGGCCCTATCCCATCCGCTTTCTTCACCTATCTTCCCCTTGTTCCCACCGGCTTCCACCACCATCCCTTCTTCAGCCCATCCTTCTTTCGTCAATCCCTCTCCTATTCTTAGTTCCACTGTTTCACTTCCAAATCTCCTAGTTGCTCTTTGTGTTTTTTGTTGCTATAGCAGTTTTATTGAGATGTAATTTCGTGTCATACAATGCACCAATTTAAAGTGTACAATGCAATGGATTTTAGTGTATTCAGAGTTGTACAACCATCACCACCATTTTAGAATTTTTCATTACTCCAAAAAGAAACCTCATCCCTATTAGTGTATCTTGTGTTCTTTAAATTTTTGTTTAAATATGTAATGTTTTAACATCACCATTCTTATTTTTATACATGTAACAATGTGTCTTTTAACTATTTTTCCATGTTTCTAATTGTCTTTATCTTTTTAAATAAATGGACAGCCCTCATTTTTTTAAGTATTGTTAAAATTGAGGTCAGCACTTAATAATTCTTACAGATGGAGTTACTTGCTCTTTCCACTTCTCTTCCTTTTGACAAAACTTCCCTAATCTACAATGGTCCCATCTGAAGAGAAATTCAAAAAGGAGGCACAAGTTGTCAATTTTGAACCCTATAAAATACTTAGATTCCTGGGCCTACCTATTTGTCTGAACTTCCCAGTTCATACGCAGGTTCTTGGGAGCAGTAAAGGAGAAATTTGGAGAACTCTACTGTATCTATCCATTTTAGTCTAACATTCTATTTCCCTCTTTTCCCTCACCCTATACCCTTTCTTAGAAGATGTGATGGTTAATTTTATGGGCCAACTTTGCTGGGCTATGGTGCCCAGATAGTGGTCAAATATTATTCTGGATGTTTCTGTGATGGTGTTTTTGGATGAGATTAACATTTAAATCCGTGGATTTTGAGTAAAGTAGATTGCCTCCCATACTGGGGGTGGCCTCATCCTTCAGTTGAAGTGCTGAATTAGAACAAAAGACTAACCTTTTCTAAGCAAGAGAGAATTCTGCCAACAGATAGCCTGTAGACTTGAACTGCAACACCATCTATTCCCAGATTTTGGACTTCACAGATAGATATAGATACATAATTATAATTATAGATATATAATTATAACCATGTTGGAGATATATATATCATATTGGTATGGTCATATATATTCAGATATAGATAGAGATATCATGTTGGTTCTGCTTCTCTGAAGAATCTTGACTCACATGGGGGGGTTTCCTGAAACCTGTGAATACCCTGAATTGAGGTTGGGGTGCAGGGAGGAATGGTAGTCAAAAAGAATATTCTATTAAACCCTCGAATACAGCTTTGCCTTGTCAAATTGTACAGCAGCTAAATCTGACATAGAACTGGACTTAACTTTGCAAAAGCTGTCATTACAAGGATGTAAAACAACTGAGGAAATGAGTACCCTTGTCTTCTCAGAGTCGAATAATTTTTCCATGATGGCACAAGAACTCGTCTGTTCTTTGTGGTTTTGAGGAATGAGGGAACAGGATAGCAGAGACTGGCAAGATGGTACAGTAACAAACTCATGTTAATAAAGGCCTTAATTTCATTGCTAAAAGTTAATTAGTTTGAATATGTGAACAAGATGGCTAAGAGACCAAGTAACAGGATTGATTTGTTTATTGACTCCTGATAAATTACTTGGAGAATGATCTGTTGCAACAAAATCCAGGCAGGGGGCAAATGTAAGTTATACTAGGGCCTAGAATCCATCCACCCACTCTTGTGTATGGGCAGTATTCCCATAATCTTGCTCGTTATAAAGCAAAGGTGTGTCACTTAAGACGATGTGTATGTTTTTAAGGAGGTCATAATTATAAATTTGGGAGATGTTTTTAACAATCAGGATTCATTTCAAGGAGCAGAAAACCCATCTGTATTTTAGATGTAGGAAGGAATTTAATATAGAAAATTACATGTTTACAAACTATTTGGAAGGAAAAGAGGAACAGGTTCTAGGCGGAGTCCAAGGAATAACTCCTAGAAAAATATGGAACTGACCAACCAGAGTTCTCTCACCACTGCTACTGCTATCACAGTCTTGCATGCACATTCCCCAGGCCCCACCCCAGGCCCCTGTCTTCCCTGAAGCCACCACCTTTCAAAAAATGACCTAACAGAGAACATGACTAAGACTTAGGATTCCTGAGGGGGAAAAGGGGTGAGGTGGCCACTTTGCCCCTGAGCCCATCCCCTCCCCACAGAATATGCATTTCTGGCAGCTGGACATTGAGGAATAATATGAGGCCTTCTGGTGGGGACCTGTCCTCTGGCTGGGGCTTGAAGGTGCCATTCTTGAGGGCTTAAAGTCCCCTCCCAATTCAGTACATCCCCATCTGGCTTGAGGGGCCCTGGACTGAGTCTATGCATATGCAACATTAAAGGTAGAGGTCCTGGTCTTATGGGTTCTCTAGATGGGGGCTTCAAGTTGGTGTAAGCCATCTTCAATGTGTCTGTGTGCTTGAATCTGAGATCCAGAGTCCCAGAACTGGACTTAGGGGTCTTGGGAAAGCCAGGGGCTTGGATCAGAGATTCTCAGCCTACAGGCCCTTAAGACAGTGTTTAGGAAATCCAGAATGTGGGCTTGAAGGTTTAAGTACTCCCAGAAGAGGGATTACAGTGTTGCCACTGGGTCTATAGACTCTGGTCTAAGATAGTGAGTGTGAACCCTGAGGCCCAGGGTAATGGGGTCCCCATTAGAATTGGGAGAATGGATCATGGTTCTGGTGGCCCCACCTAGGGCAGAATTTACACAGTACCTCTCAAAACAAACAAAAACAAAAATAAAAAACGGACTAACCAGAGTTGCTATTATCTATGAGGCTATGACTGCATCCATGAACTCCAGAATATACCAAAGCCAAAATGAAAAACCATCTGCTGTCACCACCATAACTGATTATTGGCAAACAGTGCTGGTGAATGAACATCGAAATGTTATTTGTGCAGCAAGTCTGCACAATTTGCTTGCCAGCAGGAATGGGCAAAATGTAACTGGAAGATGTCACATTTGTCTTCCAAATCTTGAGGAGTTGATTCTGATTGATAGACCCTATTTTACATACAGAACTATGGCTGCAAGTGAGTATAGAAAGTGGAGTTTTTGACTTTCCAACTTCTCAAATGAGAAGGATAATTAAATGAAGATTGAATGAGCCAATCCAAAGTACCCAGCTCAGTGGTACATACAGTAAAGGGAGTATTCAACTGGGAATTTGGAAGCCTGGGATGTAGTCTTAGCTCTGTCACTATATTAATTTGATCTTGGGAAGATTACTTCCTCTCTTGGACCTAACAGAGTTTATCTAGTAATTATTCTGGAGAAATATTTTAAGCAAGAGAATGATGTGGTCAACTTTTCATTTTAGAAAACCACTTGGTCAAGAGATGATGTAGACCTGCTTTAGAGTAGTAGTGTGATGGAGATAAATGTGACACCTTGGAGAAATATTTAAAAGGTTAAAGCATTTTATAATGATAAAAGGGATGATTCATCAAGAAACTGTAACAACTAAAAACACATATGCACCTAAGAAAAGATCCCCAAAGTGCTGGGGAAAAAACAGACAAAATTGAATACATACATGAATAATCCAACAATAATAGTTGGAGACTTCAATATCCTATTCTCAATAAGGGATACTACAAGTAGACAGAAAATCAGCAATCAGAAAACTGGAACAATACTATCAGTCAAATTGACCTAATTGACATCTAGAGAATGTGCCAACCAATAGCAGCAGAATAAACAGTCTTCTCAAGCACTCATGAAACATTTTCCAAGAGAGACCATTTGCTAGGTCATAAAACAAGCTTCAATAAATGTAAAATGATTGAAATTATACAAAGTATATTCTCCAATCATAATGGAATGAAATTACAAATCAATAACAGAAGGAAATTTGGGAAATTCACAAAAGTGTGGAAGTTAAATACTGCACTCCTGAATAACCAGTGGCTTAAAGAAGTAATCACAAGGAAAATTAGTAAACACCTTGAGAAAAAGAAAACAACATACAAAATTTATGGGATGCAGCTAAGGTAGTGTTCAGAGGGAAATATATAGCTGTGAATACCCATATTATAAAAACAAAAGGGATCTCAAATCGATAACCTTAAGAAACTGAACAAAGAGCAAACTAAGCATAAAGCAAGCAGAAGGAAAGAATAAAAATTGGAGTGAAAATAAGTGAAATAAAAAGTTAAAAAAAAGAAAACACTAGAGAAAACTGACAAAGCCAAAAGTGGCTTTTTCAAAGAGCAAGAAAATTGAAAAAAAAAAAACAAAAAACAAACAAACAAAAAAAAAAAAAAAACATGGCTGAACTGGCCAAGAAAAAAGAAAAGACTCAAATTTCTAAAATCAGGAGTGAAAGAGAATGCATCATTACTGACCTTACAGAACTAAAAGGAATACTATGAACAACTGTATGCCAATAAATTAGGTAATCTAGATGAATTAAACAAATTCCCAGAAGACACAACTGCCAATGCTGCCTCAAAAAGAAATAGAAAACCTGAATAGAGCTACAACAAACTAAATTAGTATTTTACAGAATTCCCACAAGAAAATCCCAGGCTGAGATGGCTTACCTAGTGAAAATTTCCAAACATTTAAAAGAGAAATAGTATCAATTCTTTACAAACTATTCCAAAAAGTAGAAGATGTGGAAAGTCCTCAGAAATCATTCTTTGATATCAATATTACCTTGAAATGACAACCAGAGATATCATTATCATCATCATAAACATGCTACATGTCAACATTCTTTATCGATAAAGATACAAAAATACTCAAGAAAATACTAGCATACCAAATCCAGCAGCATAAAGAAAGGATTATACACCTTGATCAAGTAGTATTTATCTGACGAATGTAGGGTTAGATGAACATAAAAATCAACATAATACACCACATTAATGGAATAAAAGACAAAACTACATGATCATCTCAATAGCCACGAAGACATTGACAAGATCCAATGAACTTTTATGATAAAAAGTGCTTAGCAAACTTTCCTATTTGCTTAGCAAAACTATTCCTATAGGAAGGAACTTTCTCAATCAGATAAAGGGCATCTACCAAGAACTCACAGCTAACATCATACTTAATGGTGAGACTACATTTTCCCCTTAAGGTCAGGAACAAGACAATAATGCCCACTTTCACAACTTCTATTCAACTGGTGGTTCTAGCAAATGCAAAAAGTCAAGACAAACTCAGGAGATGCAGAAAAAGCTTTTGACAAAATTCAACACCCCTTGATGATAACATTCAACAAAGTAGGAATTGAAAAGAACTTCTTCACCTGAAAAAGAATGTGTATAAAATACCCATAGCTAACACCATACTTAATGGTCTTAAAGACTGAAAGTTTTCCCCCTAAGATCAGGAATAAGACAAGGATGTTGGTTCTCACCACTTCTATAACATTGTACTGAAAGTTCTAGTCAGGGCAATTAGGCAAGAAAATGGAATAAAGGACACCCAGATTGGAAAGGAAGAATTCAAACTATCTCCACTTGCAGATGACATAATCTTGTCTATCGAATCCTAAGGAATCCACTAAAAAACTATTGGTACTCTAAATCAGTTCAGTTTATCAAGGTAGCAGGATAAAAGATCAATATACAAAAATAATTGTATTTTTATATACTAGCAATGAACAACTCAAAAATGAAATTAGGAAAATAATCCCATTTACAATAGCATCAAAAAGAATGAAATACTTAGAAAAAATTTAACAAAAGATGTGTAAGACTTATACACTGAAAACCACAAAATATTATTGAGTGAAAATAAAAACCTAAATAAATGACACAACATCCTGTGCTCATGAATTGGATGACTCAATATTGTTAACACTCTCCAATTCTATCTATAGGTTCCACAATATATATCAAAATCTAATTTGCCTTTTTTTTTTTTGCAGAAATTGACAAACTGAAACTAAAATTCATAAGGAAATGCAAGAGACTCAATAGTCACAACATTTTGGAAAAGAGGGGCAAAGTTGGAGGCCTCTAACTAATTTCAAAACAAAATACAAAACTACAGTAATGAAGACTGTGTGGTACTGGTATAAAAGTAGCCATATAGATCTGTAAAATAGAAATGAGGTAAACGTATGAGAAACTAAGGAAATGAAGAATGACAATAACTAACTCCAGGAGACAAAAAGCTGTGCAGGTAGTGAAAATTGATCAGAGTATTCATGGCTGAGCCATGAGTAGCATTTACATACTTATAGTTACGTAAATGTTGGATATTCTCCTAATATTAGGAGAAAGGTGAAACAGTGGGGGGTGGGTTGGGGGTGGAGAACTTGAAATGTGTTAAGTGTATGATGTGGACCAAAAGATGGTGTAGGTAACAGAGGGCTAAATGTTCATTCTCTGAAATGGAAAACCATAGATAAGTTGAAACATCTAAAATTGAAACATGAAGAACTCATAAGCATTATCTAAAGTTATGACTCTTTAATTCAGTGTGTTTTGAAACTGTCAGTTATAATCATGTAATGTATTTAAGAGATCAATGTAATGGGTCACCACCAGCATTTATTACAACATGAATAAAAAACATCATAGCCAAACTATGGAAAAAGCCCAAACATCCATCAACTGATGAATGGATAAAGAAGAGGTCATATATATACATGAATATACAATGAAATATTACTCAGCCATAAAAAAGAATGAAATCTTGCCATTTGCAATGGCGTGGATGGAGCTACAGAGTATTATGCTAAGTGAAATGAGTCAGTCAGAGTAAGACAAATACCATATGATTTCACTCACATGTGGAATTTAAGAAACAAAACAGATGAACATAGGGGAAAGAAAAGAGAGAGGCAGGGGCGCCTGGGTGGCGCAGTCGGTTGGGCGTCCGACTT